AAAAAAGGTTGATTGGTACTCTTTTTGAATAAAGATTATGTAGTTATTTATATACAAGTATGACCGTACATTTGTTTGTTTTTATAGTAATTAAGATGATAGCACAATGTTGACTGCTGTACCCCTATTTTTGACATTTTTACCTATTGTGTCTGTTTGTTTTGTTTACGCATCGTTGTCAATATAATGGAATTTGATGCCACTGTCATACAAGTGAGAGGTTAAGCTAGCTATAAAACCAGGTTCAATCCACCATTTTCTACATGAGCTTTTGATTTTGCCATTTGATTATGGACTTTCCTTTTTGAATTTTCTTCGGAGTTCGGTATTTTTGTGATTTTACTTTTTATGTAAATATGTAATAAATATATCTGATTGTATTTCATATTGTTATTTATTTAATATCGCTTTTCCCTTTTCGTGATCGTTAGCAATAGAGATGTAGATTTATTATGGTTTCACCTCACCAATTTAATCAACCAGCATGGAAGAGAGGGTAAAACCATTGAGCTCATAAAACTTCTAAGGTTAGAATAATATGATGAAACCTGTGTGAACCTTGCATGCAGCTTATGTGTCATGTACATTTTAAGTTTTGAAAAACAATCTTTGTATATTTATGTAGATGAATTTATTTATGTACAAGTTTCCTGTTTCTTGACTAGTGACGACCAGGTTAACAATTTACAAGTGCAATGTAGGCTAACATTGCCTGCAGGTGAAAGGAAATACGGGATAAATGTATGTGAGACAGTAATCTAACAACACAAAAAGCCATAAAGGCATTTAAGTTATTGCTTTAAGAAGGAACTACATATTTTTCATGAAGTCCAACATCTCAGATCTGTAGAAACAAAAAGCGAAAAGATTTGAATAAAACAAAAAAACATCTTTTGTTACGTTGTGTTTTACAACACGATGTCTGGGTTTGTTTTGTCGAAAAGGAAGAGGTTGCTATCTTATTGGTGTACCAAACATCTCTTTTTATACATGTGTAATTATCTTTACATTATGTAATTGTTTGAGAAAAGATAACACCAGATTTATTTCACAAACAAATTTCTCAAATGAACCATGAGTAATTATACAAATCAAAAGGAAGAATAAGTGCATTTAACTTTAAATTTAAAACTCCATGAGATTCTGGAAAGATATCACCATTTATTACATTGGTAGCATTGAATTACATTGATTTCCCAGTCAAATAAAAACCGATAATTTCACATGTGAAATAAACGTGGTTATTTCACTCTCTGACGTCATACAACAATAGGCGTTGTCAAGACGTCGATAACGTCGGATCAAAACAAATTGTGAATGCGTAGAAAAAAAGATATAGTTCCTGACATTTTCTACATTAATTTCATTAAAAAAAGCCATTTGCCAATGTAATAAAAAGAATAACTAATCAAAGAAATCAAATATCGAAAAATATTCAACTCGTGACCGAACAACACTGATAATTAACTCATGCGCTACGCGCATTCGTGAATTAATGTGTTGTTCGGTCACTCGTTGAATATTTTTCTCTATTTGAATTCTTCGATTAGTTATTCTATAAGACTTAACAAAAACCAAAAAAGTATTTTAAATTTTTGAAACAAGGTCTCCATATTAATGTCATGTTTTGTTTCATTCAGTTGTATACTGATATAGTATGAAGACTCTTCTTTTTTTCTTACGTTTTGCAAGAATCATTGCAGTTTTTATCTGTGATGATACTATAAAAAATAATATACAAAACCGTTACCCTATAATCAGACAAACATAATGTAACTATTTTGAAGCTTTCAGATGTACCTGTTAAACACGATATATTTACATCAATATTTATTGCATATTTACATAAAAATACATCAATGTGTGCAATTGAAGTTTTTTAATACAATAAAAAGGCATCGTTAGGAGTTGAACTTATAAATCTAAATGCATTAATCAAAAAAATAAGGTACAGCAATCAACATTGTAATATATTCTTTATCACTATACAAATAGATAACTATTTCAGCAAAGAAAAACAAAATGGCAAAATGGCACTTAATTGACCAAGCAAATAAGCAAAAATGAATGACAAGAATACACAATTGACTAAGTACCAAGCCACGCCAAAGGATGTTACCAAAAATATACTAAACATTTCTTATTGTTTTAGTCCGTCGTTGACTTGTGACATTTCGACACAGACTTTTGCGTTATTTCCTTCTTTATTACAGCAGAAATAGCTCGATAGTTTGGAGTTTGTATCGACCATGTTGTCTTCTCTTTAAATAACTACCTCTCACCATGTAAATTGATTCTGTTTATTATAGTATTAAATGGTAGCTTACATATGATATAAGCTATAGTAAAATTTTCGAATCTACACAATTTATTTAGTAAACGCATTTTCTTGATACCTTAGGATAGTTTTATTGCTCATAATATGCCGATTTGAATTTGACTTCTTGTTGTTTTAATATTTTAGTCTAGTATTAAGTATACAGATTGAAATACTATAGTAACCATGTATGTGGACAATAGTTTTTTTCTTATATTTTTACAAAAATTGTCACGCGATCAATAAGGAAATTCCATTGAAAAAGAAAGTAGTGAAAAATGAAATCCTATATTCTTTTTATTTTGTTTCAACCATACACATTAAGATTTATGTTTAATTTCAAAATTTTAAATACTATTATGAAAACATGGATTTGCAATTTTAACCTGCCTGATATCACCTGCGACAACACAACATTTTATGTATAACTGAATGCTGCTTTAACGAGTTCCAAAACCACGACAAATATGTGCCAGTTGTGCGAAGAAAATAGAAACCAAGAGAAAATATTTAACCTGGTAATACGATCTATTAAGGTACGACATTTTTCTGTAATCGCTTTGTAGAAAGAAGAGAATAGTTGTCAAGACGCTTTGCGTTTACATAAAACTCATCATTGGAGCTCGACATAAAACCAATTTAAGACCAATCAACTTAAGAGACCAATTAAAACAAAGCTGAAACGAAACATCGTATGTTTTACTGTAGTAAGACATTGCATAATAAATAACATCAAATCATAACTTCCCTAAAAGTGAAACCACTGTCTTAGGTGCTATGCAGTGATGGTAATATATTCAAATTAAGTTGACATTATCAAGTCTGTCTTTGACTTGTGATTTTTAGATACCCATCTTTTCGTCCCTTTCTCCGTTATAAAAGCAGAATGGACTTGACGTCACATAATATAAAAAATGGTAGCTGGCAAAAATATTGATTTAAAACAAGATATGCTAGTCATTATAAAGAAATTATTTCTCTATCAGTTCTTGAGTTTGTATTGGCATTGTTACTTACTTTTGCAATGTATACCTGTCACCGTGTGAATTGTTTTTGTAGTTGTGTTTAATCTCTTAAAAACTAGTCACAAATTTTATCTAACATATAACATGTAGTAAAGTGTTCGGGACTTAAATGATTTAATTAGTACACTCTGGATTCCATAGGCTTGTTTTGATTTTTTATACGGTATTTTGACTTTGTAATAACGTGTAGTTTGAAACATTTTGCCTCTCAGTAAAGATAAATACTCTTAAAAAAAATAAACACACATACAAAAAATTTAAAAAAAAGTTTTTGATTGCTGTTCGTTCATGTCCACATCGTTTGTCAAATATTATGCATACTGTGGATTAGACAAAAATCCCTGACTATCAATTACATGTTACTGTACAAGAGAAGCGCAAGATACCAAAGGGACATTTCAACCCATAAGTCGAAGACAAACTGATTATGACAACGCCATGTAAAAAAACAGAAAAGAAAAAGATAACGACCAAAAGACATACAGTCTAGTAAACAACACAAAACAGAAAAATAAAGACTGAACTAAACGAACCACACCAATCAAAAGGTGGCATCTCAGGTGCTCCGGAAGGGTGAGCAGATGTTGCTCCACGTTGCCACCCGTCGTATTATTTATGTAAATATAATTTTCTTTTTGATAAGCTTAATTTGGTGATGTCATAGTCGAGGAAAATAAGACGAGAGTGTTGTTACGACAATTGGAACATATGTGAAACAGATATTCCATAACGGTCATCCAACTTATGATAGCGTCCGTAATTATTTCGAATAGATAACTTCAACTTCACAAATTGGAACTCTGGTTAAATAGCCTCCTTGTAAGCAACAACCCTCTATCAACGGAACTATATAGACTGAAGACAGGTTTTTGTAGAATGTCTGTTCAGGTTGGGGTATTCTGAATACCTGTCTTTTTCACAAACAGCAAATATGGGAAAAAAATAGTCAGTATCCCTGATGTTTATCTGTCAAAATATAGAACTTTGATAAAAATCTTAATTTTTACAGATTTATTATGATACTACTATACTAATTATCAAACACAGTACAAATGTCTGCGGAGAAAAGTTTATCGATAGATTTTTATAAGTATCTGTGCCAGAAAATTGGATCTGAAGAGGAGGTCCGAGTTAGGCGATTAACTTACATTATCAATGATCTTGGGATTCCACGCACTTCACTAAACCAGATCACCAGTGGCAGTAAAGGTGAAGGACTACAATTAAAAGGTAGTGATCTTGATCTAATGTTTATTGATCCTTCATACCAAGTTTATGAATCAGACAGAGATGTTGTTCCTGAATCTGGCCGGTGTATTCCTTTGGTAATGGAGACAGAAGATACACATCCAGGTTTCACACAACTACGTCTTCCCAGTAATCATGATTTAACTTTCGGAAATGATGAAACAAAGAACGTATTCTTATGTAGAAAGTTATCAAGTGAACTTTATAAGGTGCATGAATTGGAGGACTTTTCAAATAATGTTGGAGTTGCATATACTAACGTTTTAAAAGTTCACTGACCATGCATTTCAACCCTCACAGAAACCAGTGATTTTGTGAGATGTCTTAAATGTGACCAATGGATATCTCAAGCACAACCATGGATCATTAGACCTCGAACAACATGGCCTCCTCCTGATCTTATTTCCAAAATGATCTCATGTGGTGTTCTATATGTTCCAATTGGTTGCCAAGGGTCTCGCAATGAAAATTTGCAATGGAGAATATCTTTTTCTGTAGCAGAAAAAATTCTAATATTTTCCTTCACTCATGTACAATTATTATGTTATGCTTTGTTAAAGTTATTGGTAAAAGAAATTGTGGAAAAGCACGATGATTTAAAAACATTATTGTGTTCTTATTTTCTGAAAACCTTGATGTTTTGGATTTCAGAAGAATTAGATCCTTCAATTTGGAGTCCAGACAAAATAATTCAATGCTTCATGGCATGTTTAAAGAGACTCATATACTGTGTAGAATATTCAACATTATTACATTATTTTATTCCTGATCATAACTTATTTTATTTACGATTTGATGTTGACAAAAAAGACAAAGTGATCAGCATCCTAAAGAATTTATTTGAAAAAGGGATATACTGTTTTGCTCGGTCAGAGACTCTGTTTGATATAATCGAACTACCTTTGACCGCCACGGATTCGTCAATAAGTAGACGTGTTGCAACACTGCATGAAATTATTAGCACTTCATTTACTCTTTTTTTAAACCGACCTCTTAATCTGCTATATCATTTTCTACATCATGCAAGCACTAGTATATCAAAAAGTATCTTTTTTGAAATGCTAACAGTTGCACACCAAATCGTACCGCAAATATCACAGAATCAACCGAGATCAAACAACAAACATCAATACGACAAGTACAAACGTGACCTCAGTCATCTGATGATTGGTACAAATTCGGATGCAGTAGCTGGTTGGCTCGTATTAGCCTCTTTCTTTTATGGTAATGAAAATTACTTGCTTTCATTGGATATCATCAATCATGCATTCAGGAAATGTACAAGTGAAAAAATGTATCCCTGGCAAATCGGTTTAGATCAAACCCAGGAATATCTGCTACACTTGCTGAAACAAACCGAACTTTGCACAATATCAAAAGCATTGACAGTCAAGTATCCTAAATTTATTTACAACTCATCAATTAGTCCACAAGAACTACAATTAACCGTAAACGAACAAGCTATTCCTTTTCATCCTATAATATTTGCACATTTCCTGAGTTTCCTGTGCTATTACCATCTGCATAACGTAAGATCATGCAAACAGTCTTTGCTTCAATTACGACAAGAAATTATAAAACATTTTACTACTAATCTATTTAATTTATATTCTGAACCATTGTTCATTATTTGTCTTGGCATAGCTCATGAGATGCTTGCTGAAACAGACTCAGCAAGACAATGTTTCCTTCTAGCCGCTCATAAAGATGAACATAGTTTATCCAATGCAGCAATGAGACTGTCCAATTGCAATGTAGACTAACTTATACGCTTAATAAACATGGCCTTTAATTTAATTTAATTTATCTATTGCCAAAAGTAAGAACTGGTAGCATAATTCGCGAGATGTTTTCATGCATAAAACGCCAATGTCATTTGCTTACTTGTGGATTTTGGTTAAGAATCATATATAATGTAAATTCAGATATTATTGCGTGCATTTATTATTGAAATTTTTGAGGAATACACAAAGATGTGAGACTAGTTATTGCGATTTCAGAAAATTTTTATTTGATATTAGAATGCGAGTTCTTACTATAGGATACCAATCAGTTGCATTATTGCATTATTCGTATTAAATAAAACCTGACATTAATTTCTGAATACTGTAAACCAACTAATTTTCGTGGGCGATTAATTTTTGCGACTTTCGCGAGTAGAAAAATAAAGCGAAAATAAATAGTTGCGAATTTGTAAAACTTGGATCTTTATTTACTTAAATACATCAAGTAATTTTAATAAAACCCTTTTTAAATCGCCTTAAAGAGGACTAGGAAGGCCGAAATGCGAAATAAAGTACCCGCTAAAATAAGTTGGTTTATAGAACTTCCTTAAAAGAGGGACGAAAGATGTCAGAGGGACAGTCAAACACATAGATCGAAAACAAACTGACAACGCCATGGCCAAAAATAAAAAGACAAACAGACAAATAATAGTACAGATGACACAACATAGAAAACTAAAGACTAAGCAACACGAACCCCACCAAAAACTGGGGGTGATCGCAGGTGCTCCGGAAGGGTAAGCAGATCCTGCTCCACATGTGGCACCCGTCGTGTTGCTTATGTTATTACAAATCTGGTAAGTAGTCTATTTCGGTAGGTCACATTCGTGAAAAAGGAAGGGTATTGTAGTTACGACATAAGGAACATATCCGATATCATCTGTGAAACGGTTATTCCATAACGGTCAACCAACTCGTGATGGCGTCCGTAAAATTTACGAAGAGATGATTTCAACCATTTTGAACTCTTGGTTTAATAGCTTCCTTGTGAGCAGCAATCCTCTATCACGGAAATCATGATAGGAAATACAAGCCCGGGAATATCGTATCAATTGGGAGATATTTACTCCGTATGCAGGCGCTGCTTCAATGTTGCTACATAGAAAGTTCACAATTGGGAAGCTGTAATCATCTCTTTTGTCGTAAAGTTTTGTTTCCTTAATATTATACAATTTCCAAATTTTGTTTTGAATAGGTCAATGACAAAACAATTAATATTTAACAGCTTGATTGTTTTTTGTTTGGCATTCACTTCATCTCAATTCACATTCTTGATCTAATTTAATGATCAACATTTTGAATAAGAACTTATACAAAACAGTGTTAGGGTGTTTGCTGGGGTCAGGGAAGGGTGTCCATTTGCAAGAGAATAGTAGATTAACGAATTCTGTCTTAATGAAACTTGTTCAACTGAAGAAAGTATGTCAAAAGAGGTTTTTTAGGGTCGTCGCCGTTTATTACTTGTTTTCTATTCTGAAATAGGTTAAAAATAACTTGCTGATTTTATTACATCTGGATAGTTGTCATAATTTTTGCTACCAATATTTCCGATTATTTGAGTTTCAATCTCACTGGAAAACAATTTGTTATGCTGTGCAATTCTTTAAAAAGTGGTACATATAAATAGAACCCAATGAAGTTATATTGATTTATCACCCTTAAAATCACGAGTAAATTAAAAATTAGAACAAGCGTAATAATTTTCTATTCTCTTTATTCTTTATGATAAATCCTTTCAAAATGAATGCTATGAAATATTTTGTTTTTTGAAAAATATTACAGAAAAGTTTTGTTTCTTGGTTGGAAGTTACTGTAATGAGATAAAAAAAAATTGGGTGAAGGGTAATTCATGAATAAGTGTATGACATACGTTAGGTTTAGCATACATGAGTGGTCATGTCACATTTTGAACTGGAATGTTCTCTTAACTTGTTTCCATTTATCTCTAATATCTTGCCTGCTGATATTAGAAATTTCCCCCTAGAGATTATAATCTTGCGCCGATAATTGTCAACTATCAATGTGCTATTTAGATTAAGAATTGGATTGATGCTCTGTAGACAGATTTGTGATTTTTTAGAGATCCCTTTACCAGTTGTATTGCAAGGCCTACAATTTTCAAATTTGTGATTTTTCTTTCAGATTCTGACCAATTCAACCATAGTCATAGTTTTAAATGTCCTATAAATGTCTCCATTGCACTTTCTTGATTTCTGTTATAATAATTTTTGCATTTGTCACATATTCCTAGATCCTTTCTGTTTTTTGACAAAATGATTTAAATGTATTTAATTGCATTGGTGGATATTTGTGCATAAAAAGATGATATTATTGTTTGAATGATAATAAGGAATAAAAAAGGTGATTCCAAGTAGTTTGCTCTGATTTACAAGATGGGTTTTTATACTGGTTGATAGATGTGGAATCCTTTGTTAACCTTAAAATATTCACTAAATTGTAGATATGCATTGCAAATGTTTAAAATACTTTTCAAAGTGTGTGTATAATGCTGATATTATAGCTATGTCTTCGTGTAAAATTAAATTATGTTATGTAATAAACTGGACTAAACACCGTCTTGTATTTATTCTCATTCTTCTCCTCATGCGTCCATATGGAAGGTGGTAGTATGCAGTTAATGCAGATTTAACAAAATTTGGTGATATTCCAGTCTATATGAATTAATACATGCGTCTGACGGGGAAAATACATTTTTTGAATTTTACAATGTTAAAACTTTTTGAAAATTCAGAGATTACTCTATTGGAATAGGCATGAAAAGTTATGTACATTTGGGATACATTTGCAGTTTGCCTCTATTCAAAAATGAAGTGGTAGTTTTAAAAAGGGTTTTGCCTGTATATCTTGGATGACATTAACTAGAACAACAGAAATGCTCCCTCCTCCTTTTCCTTTTTAATCATTTATCCGTCACAGTGCTTTTTTGATTTAGAAAATAGATTTATTTGTAATGTTTTGATTTAATGAATTTTTTTAACATTAGCATCAAATGTATACGCATTTTGATATTGTGTAACTAATATTGGTTTTAAAATTTGTGCCTGCAATACTTGATTATTGCCCTTTGTTAATATTTGTACAACCTTTATCGGAACCGTTATGTCAATGCAATTACCAAGAACTATCAATTGTCATTCTCTTCGGAATTAATTGAATATTAGTTACGGCTTATTTAGCACTACGTTGTCACATACTTGTACTAAAAAGTAAATCAACAAAAATACCGAACTCCGAGGAAAATTCAAAACGGAAAGTCCCTAATTAAAGCGCAAACACATCAAACGAATGGATAACAAATGTCATATTACTAACTTGGTACAGGCATTTGCTATGTAGATAATGGTGGATTAAACCTGGTTTTATAGCTAGCTAAACCTCTCACTTGTATGACATTCGCTTAAAATTCCATTATATTGACAACGATGTGTGAACACAACAAACAGACTTAATATGTATAAATGTCCAAAATAGGAGTACAACAATCAACAAAGTGTTTTAATTTAAATCATTATAAAAACATACAAAAATGACAACAAAGAAAAACAAAAAGACATATAGACAAAGCACATCAGCAAAAACGAAAGACAAAACTACACAAAATTACCGTTGCACAATAATACGACGACAGGATATAAAAGTACCGAGCCACGTCAAATGGATATTACCAAAAATAGACTAAACAGTAAATGCTATACTTTACATGGACAAATAAAGGAACACTTTAACGCGTAATTAAGATGACAAACAACGTCAGTACCTCAAGTCCATCGTGTATTATTTGTGAAGTTTATACAGAATATTTATCAACAAGGTCTTGGTATCTTCCGATGAACTTTTTTTTAGAAAAAGGACGAGACGTTCTTTGATTTAACCCTGATTCATCAACTTTCTGCTCAGACAATAGTGACGTTTTACAAAGTCTGAGTAGCAGCTGAAAGTTCTTGAATACCGAATGAGTTGGGAAACGTATATCCCATATGCAGGAGAGGTTGGTATATTGCTACTAAGATTGATAATTTAAAAATTGAAATCGTCTTGTTTGCCATAGATTCGGTAACTGAGATGACCGCTTTAGTCAAATTTAAGATATCAGTCTAAACATTCGGCAAAAGAAGCCGTGTATGTTGCTTCTCTAATTTCTAGTTCTTGCGGATATATTAATGGAACCCTATTAGAAACGTTTGGATTGTGAATGGAAAGAACATCATCTATATATCTTAATGGGAAATTAAGTCTCTAAACTTTTGATATACGATATTTTGGTGAAGTCATAATAATTTAGTTTTGCTTTCTTTATCAATGATCTAATACTAATCTGCACCCCTACAACCGCCTCTGACCAAGACAAACATCGCAATATTTACAAAATTACAATATTCAAAGTTAACCAACATTCATATGATATAAATACATCGTATATTCATATGAGCTAAAGAGTAACACACCCAATTTTTTTTAAATGATAGTAGTTTTAAAAGGTTGTTCAACTTCAATATATGGTCTTGGGTGTAACTTTATCACATGCACTTCATTGCTATCTATGGGAAGGTCGACTATCGGTCACGCGATCACTGATGGATATTCCCGAGAAAGTGAAAGTAGTAAATCATGAAATCGTTCACATTTGGTCGTTAACCATGTACAGTTACATTCATGATACGTTCACGGTTTTTAATTGCAATTTTGAAAACATGGTCGATTTATCAAATATTAAGTAGAATGTATCCTGCTTTAAACCACCTACGACAACAAACTATTGTATATAGAATTGAATGCTGCTTTGAGGAGGTCAAAACACATATCTGCCAGATGTGAAAGACTTTGAAGTTGTAAAAAAGAAATCAAGAGAAAATATTAAATCTAGTAATAATATTTATGGTAAGACATTTTACTGTAATCCCTTTGTAGAAATAAAAACTCATACGAAATAAAGCGCTGATAATTTAATTATTCTTGCGTCTGCATAAAACTCCTCATTGGAACTTGACATAAAACTATTCTATAGCTCATCAACTATAGAGATCAATTAAAAACAAAGCTGACAGGAGTCATCGTATGTTTTTCTGTAGTAACATTGCATATTAAATCTGATTGATAACATCAAATCATAACTTCCTTAAAATCGACACTACCGTCTTATTCAGTGATGGATATATTCAAATTCAGATGGCATTTATATTGACTATTAATTACATATACCTGTAGAATAGATAATTAAGATACCGATGGGAAATTCAACCCATAAGTTGAACGCCGACGCCAGGGCAAAAAAAAACCCAATAAAACGATCAAAAAGGCAAAAATGTCTTCCAAAGTGATCTATTAAAACAAATCCAGGGATGATGGCAGGTGCCCCGGAAGGGTACACATATCCTGATCCACATGTGATACCCATCGTATTGCTCATGTAAACAGAAAAAGGTTGATAAGTTCAATTTTGGGAAACAATTTGAACATATCTGTCGTCATCTGTGAAACAGAAATTCCATAACGGTCAATCCACTCGTGATGACGTCCGTGATTTGTTTCGAAGTAATGCATTTCAAGCCTCGGGGAAACCCATGACTTTCCATGTTGTCTAAAATGTGACAAATGGATATCCCAGGCACAACCATGGAACGTTAGATCTCGAACAACATGGCCTTCTCCTGATCTTATTTCCAAAATAATCTCATGTGGTGTGCTGTATGTTCCAATTGGTTACAAAGGGTCCAACAATGAAAATCTACAATGGAGAATATCATTTTCAGTAGCAGAAAAAAATCTCATTTTGTCAATCAACCATGTTCAGTTATTATGCTATGCTTTGTTAAAAGTCTTTGTGAAAGAAATTGTGGAAAAGCACGACGATTTAACAAATTAATTGTGTTCTTATTTTCTGAAAACCTTGATGTTTTGGATTTCAGAAGAATCTGATCCATCAATGTGGAGACCAGACAAAATAATTCCTTGCGTCGTGGCTTCTTTAAAGAAACTAATATACTGTGTAGAATATTCAACATAACTGCATTATTTTATTCTTGATAAAAATTTATTCTATTTACGATTTTGATGTAGTCAAAAAAGACAAAATGACTAAATTCCTAAAAAATTTATTTGAAGAAGGGATATACTGTTTTTCTCGGTCAGAGACTCTGTTTGATACAATAAGACTATCTTTTAACGCCACGGATTCGTCAATAGCTAGATGTGTATCATCAATATATGAAATGACGAACGCTGTATTTGGACATCCCCCTCGATCTCTCAAACGGCTTTATCATTTTTTACGCCATTCAAGCACTAAAATATCGAGAAGTATCTTTTTTGTAATGCTGTCATTTGCACATCAAAAGGAACCGCAAAATTTCACAGAATCAATCGAGATGAATCAACACACATAAATACTACAAGTACAAACGCGACCGTAGTCATCTGTTGATTGGAACAAATTCAGGTGCAGTAACTGGATGACTGATTTTAGCTTCTTTCTTTTATGTTCATGAAAATTACTTGTTATCATTAGACATTACCAATCATGCTTTAAGGAAATGTACAGATGAAAAATTATATCCTTGGCAGATCGGTTAAGATCAAAACCAGGAAAATCTGCTGCATTTGTTGAAACGAGCAGAACTTTGCACACTTTCAAAAGCATTTACAGTCAGGTATCCTAAATTTATTGAAAACTCACAAATCAGTCCACAAGAACTAAAATTAAACATAAATGAACAATCCTTACCTTTTCATCCTATGGTATTTGCACATTTCCTGAGTTTCCTGTGTTACTACCATCTACATAAAATAATAGCACGTGAACAGTCTTTGCTGCAGTTGGAACAAACAATGTTGCAACATTTAACTAGTAATCGATGTGATTCATTTTCTATATCAAATCTGCTTACGTGTCTTGGCATATATTATCAGATGATTGGAGAAACATACCAGGCAAGAGAATATTTCCACCAAAGTTCTCAGCTTGATGAACTTTTAATGTATGAAAGCAGTTTGAAAAGTTTGTTCAATATCGATCTATGGTAGAGGATGTTTATCACAGGCACTTTATTCTTTCTACCTAAGGAAAGGTAGACTATTGATCACGCGATCAGTAAGGACAATTCCCGTGGAAGCGAAAGTAGTAAAACTGAAACCCAACATTCTTTTAATGGTTTTCACCTTGTGGAATTCCATTAATGGTTATTATTACGAATTTTAACACTATTTTGATAACGCGATCGATTAATTAAAATTTTATTTGATTTGCAATGTGAACCTGAATCAACATGCTTAAGGTAAACTACCTGTGACAACAAAAACATTATAAATATAATTGAATGCTGCTTTTAGGAGGTTTTAACAAATATCTGCAAGTTGTGGGAGACATTATAGCAGCAAAACGAAACCAAGAGAAAATATATGAAATCTGTTAACACGATCTATGAAGGTAAGACAATTTACAGTATAAATCGCATTGTAGAAAAAAACACCTCATTACAAATATACGGCTGATGTTTTAGCGGGAATAATGCGTAGCCTTTACATTAACTCCTATGGCCCATCCATATAAGAGACCAAC